GCTCTATATTGGTCATTCTTTCGAACATAGGAGGTACATCAGGTACGTCCGCTGTTGACCTGCTGTCTGTGAAGAGAGAGAGAAGAGAGAGAGAGAAGAGAGAGAGAGAGAGAGAGAGAGAGAGAGAGAGAGAGAGAGAGAGAGAGATAGGAGAGAGAGAGAGAGAGAGAGAGAGAGAGAGAGAGAGAGAGAGAGAGAGAGAGAGAGAGAGAGAGAGAGAGAGAGAGAGAGAAAGAGAGAGAGAGAAAGAGAGAGAGAGTGAGTGAGAGAGGAATGATATCAAACGGAGGTACCAGACAAAATTTTCGACAACATTTACGGAATTTACGGTGATCATATATCACTATATATATATATATATATATATATATATATATATATATATATATATATATATCCCTCTCTCTCTCTCTCTTTCCTCTCTCTCTCTTGAGAGAGGGAGAGAAAAAAAGAGAGTGAGAGAGAGAGGGGGAGAGAGGGGGCACCATCGGCCCTATTCCTCGTTGAAAAAACTGGGAGAAAAAAGAGACTTTTCAATATCTTGACTACTTGGCCTCGTCAAAACACATATGAGCAGTAAATTGAAAACTGCCTGCAGATCCTACTCGATTCTTTAAAAAAAAAAAAACATCAGCTGCGCGCCAGATTGACATCTCACCAGCATTAAGGGAATGACAAAGATACAAATTCCAAACATTGGAACAGTTTCTGCACAACTAATGATAAGAATGATTAACACGCGTGATGCAAACAATAATAAAATGATTTTTTGATAAGTTGCTAATTTTAATAAAATACATTTTAATACATTTTCAATTTAATAAAACAAATTTGTAATAAATTTCAATACAACATGTACCAAGCGCACATGCAAACGACTTCAGGCAAACGCGTGTCACGCATTATTACAATAATCACATTTGCATAATCAACCGGTACTCACGTCGGTTGCACGATGTTCGTCCACTTTGACTAGCCCTGCGGTTTGAGGTCTGATCACCAACTTCATATCAGGAAGATTCGCTGTTTTCCTGTCCTGATTGTCCTGTGCTTTGTGTATGACATTGAATTCCAGCAGGGGGTCCGTACATGCCTGAATTTCACATGCGTGGGGGCCAAACAAATGTCGTGGAAAGGGGTCTTCTTTATCTGGCTCTTAGCGTCTCGCAGGAATAGGGTACATGGTACTGCCCGATATAGTTTTATTCCCCCATGTTTTTCCGTGCAATGGACACGTGCCCTTGTTAACCACAACTTTGTTTTGCGTGCAATCCTTTGCAAACCCAACTTTCACAACTTGCATATATTTGTTTCCTCCCCCTTCACAGAGCACTTTGGCCTCGAGATGAAAGCTTTCACCACATACCTTTTTAATCTTATTGTCATTCTTCCAAACCATGCGTATGCACAATTTTGGTTTCTAACGACGAGCTTCATTCCCCACAAAGGCTTACCTATGCATGGTGATAATAAACAGCCATCGTCCAACGCAAACGTGTTTACGTTCCGTTCCAATTCCGTTCCCACGTGTTTCAGATTCCTTAAGCAGCTCCAACAACTCTCACTTTAAGTCGTGGAACACCATTGCCCTACAGCAAATACCACATTTTGTTCGCGCTTCTGCTTTTTTAACTATACCATGAACTGTTAGAGCCCTACGAAATATACTATGCCTGTAAAATACTTAGTGGCGGTTGATACGCAGATTGGCTGTGCAGAATTAACCAGAGATGGTGGGCTTGATATAGAGCCCTGTCTCTGACGTCATGTGGTCGTTTCCTCACTTAGACGTAGATGCCTTAGGCCCACTTTTTTCCAGCACCAGAGATGGCTCCTAAGAGAAAATTCAAACTCATCGCGATGCCTCTCAGCGAAAACCTCTCCTCGTTCTATTTACGATCTATCCAAATAAGCATCGGTAAAATATGCTACGGCTGGTCCGCCTTTAACATCCTGGCCTTAAATACGCTTCACACAGCGCACCCCTTACTTTCCAACGCTGGCAAACCGCGCGACTGCCAAGCCAGCACGTGGCAACGTAAATCCGTGCCGACCATTCTTTAGGCTGTGTAGAAGGCAATCGCTGCGCACAGACTTCACGTACGCGTGCCCTGACGTTGACGGCTCACCTCGCTCTGGACATTCGGGGACGGCAGGTTCATGTAGGCGTGTCCGCATCTGCCACCATCACGGCTGGATACCAGACCTGGGAAGGAAGGTCGGCTATGAGTTCGTCATGTGAGCTTTCTGCATTGCTTTGCGCAAAGTGTGCATTAAAAATGATAAAGGAATATGAGCGCTTTAATGATTCAAAACTCTCTCGTATTATTTCCATGCACTCCATAGTACTGCTCTGTTGTGACCTGACATTATACACAC